GTTTTGCTGGCATATACTGTATTTCAAAACATCGTATCCTCCCTTAGGAACACTTGATATCTACACTCATATAGCCTTAGCAACACTCAGTTTAAACTGAAACAAAATAATATAAATGTTTGCATTTGCACATCATTCTTTTTTTTTTGTAAAATGGTATGTTGTTATAGTACACAACTGTGACTTTTGAATCTATTACCATTAATGTTTTATCATTTTTTTATTTTCAGACCTTTGATCAGGTGGAGCAGGAAGTTCTTGGAGGTCAGAAACTCCAAGGTCCACATACAGCATATGAGGTTTACCAAGTATTGAAAGAAAACAACCTCACCGATGAGTAAGTGTCAGGTTTTGAGTGTAGTGCATTCATATCTGTTTCCAAACTCATTCTGTCAGCTGATCATTCCATAAAAAAAACCATTTCATTAAAAGTCATTGGAGTCGAGTGATTTTCTGTTAAACAATACAAGCTGCAGAGTAGAGGGAGGCTGTATTAGGAAAAATATAGGAAAAGGAAAAAAGGAAAACAAAATAAAATGGAAAGTGGGAAATCTTCAGTCACTACAGTCGCTGCAGTGCTGTCAATAGAGAAAAATGTTTTTGGAGTCTTGTACTGAGGTAAAATCACTCATCAAAAAAACAAAAAACAAATAGAAAATACCCCAAATTTAATATATATTATTATTTACAACTGTGTGTTGTTGTTTCTTTTAGTTATCCTCTGTTTACTGCTATCTATAATGTTTGTTTTGAAAACCACACTCCAACAGAGATGATGGAAATGCTGATGAAGCACTTTTGAGWCAATTATGTCCTTGAWGAACCCATTGACAGTCTCTTGCTGTGTGCAAAAATAAATGCTCGAGAYGTCCCTGCAATCCTACATAGGCTGTTACTACCCTGACATACATATGTTGAAAATAATTAATAGCCATTACAATTTGTAACATTTCCATACTAATGTATATTGATTTTCATATGTGATGCACATAATATTTAGATGTTTGARTTTTTGAGTTTTTCAACGATGATTTATATACCTTGGTACAAATTTCTACTATGATATTGATATTAGAAATTTTTATAAAAAGTATTATTTATGTTGTTACTAAATTAATATAATTTAACAGCATCTAGTCCGGTTAAGACGAATGTTTAAATAAAACCAAAAAAATCACTAAAAATTGGTAGTTATTTATAGTACTTGTCGATTGTTTGTCCAGTTGCGTATAGTTGGGTATCCTGTGCTTCATAGTGACAAAGTAATCCCATCCGATGCGATCCCATCCACAACAATGTGAAAATCCAAGATGGCGGCGTCTTTTACCGGTCTGAGTGAAGTAATTTCCAATTTATGGTGAATTGCAACTGTCAGACTTTTGCTAAACACGATGAGAGCGCGATTTAGAGCGTGGAGATGTTTTGGAAACGTAATACTTACAATTCAAAAGAGATCAGCCCACAACACAGCCAGAAAAGTAGCAATTGTGGGATCGGGAAACTGGTTGGTATCTAGCGTGCAACGTGCTCCAGAATAGAGCTAACMTCAAAAGGCTTACTGTTTCTATTTTTTTAACTAACTAAGGGGTACAACTATAGCAAGAGTGATAGGTAGTAACGTTGCAAGAAAACCTGACATGTTTCACAGAGAGGTACAAATGTACGTGTTCGACTCGGTGCTGGATGACGGTCGAAGATTGACAGATGTGATCAACACCGATCATGTCAACGTGAAGAACCTTCCCGGACATGTTATACCTCCAAATGTGGTAAGACYAGGTTATTTATTGTAACGCAAGACATCGAGATACATGTGGGGCAGATACAGAACTTTCCCAAGGGGGGAGGGGGGGGGGTACCAATTAAACTAATTAAGTTGAATGTTAATGATATTTTGGATATAATTGTGGTATTTGGGGTTGTCTGGTGAATCCATGAACATCTCTTGGTGAATCAGTTGGAGCGGAGTGTCATGCCCTTCCCCTATSAGAAAGGGCGAACACAAAAATGGCATCAATATCGATATAAGCATTGTCGTTGTTATTTGACATTGCTAAATTTTATCATCATTCATAATCAATTTTCAATTTTTATGATTTTTAGGTAGCAAATCCAGATTTACAAGACTCAGTTAAAGATGCAGATATTTTGGTGTTTAACCTTCCGCCAATGGTAAAATTTATCAGTATTAAATACCATTAGTTATTAGCGCTTAAATCTTTCACTCAAGCAAACCAAAGCCAAACAAAATACAAAATCTTAATAATAATAATAATAATCATCTTGTTAAATTTCCTTTTCTGACAGTTTCTAGAGGAAACTTGTGCACAGATAAAAGGGAAAATTAAAGAAAATGTCTTGGCTATTTCCATGATTAAGGTAAACTCCATCGTAGAACAAAATGAAAAATGCTGGTGATATCAGTGTTGACATTTGAATATTAAAAACAGCTATTTATTTAACTCAGTCAAGTGCACTAATTATTTCTCATTAATTTGATAACTGCACAAGAATTGATTATATTGAAAAATGCATTTGTGTTTGCATCTGAATTAGGGTCTTGATCATAGTAAAAAGGGACTACACCTTATTTCTTCACAAATCAAAGAAATATTGGAAATCCCTGATATCAGTGTGATGATGGGAGCCAACATTGCTGAAGAAGTGGCCAATGAAATGTTTTCAGAGTCTACCATAGGTAAAGACTAATAATAAACAATGAAGTATAAGTCAAACCTTATTTTGGTATATAACAGTATTACATTGAATTGCATTTAACACTGCCACTTCTGTTTGTGGGTGGAGCATATGATGATAATTTCAGCAAGTTTCAAAGCATTGGTTTCTTGAGAGTGCATGGTATAATAGCTATACTTCAAATTCTTTTATAAAAATGTGTTTGCTTGTTTGTTTGTCTCTCCGCAATATGCTTCTCCAGGTGTGGATCCAGGGGGGTGCTTTGGGTGCGGACGCATCCCCCTTTTTTGACAGTGTATTTTTTAAATATATTAGTATAAACATTGTTTTCTACTGTTTATACTCCTACTTTAATCGAGAAAATGAGTAGCATACACAACATGTGTCTGCCACTATGCTGCTTAACAATCTATTGGGTAGTGTAGTCAAAGATACGTTGCAATAAAAGTCAATTTGCTTCTGTTCAAATTGTGCATAATTCTCTTGCTCTAGACAATAATGATCAGTTCCATATATTACTGACAAAAGCACCCCTTCCCCCTGTCATTTGTAAGGAATAATGATCACATGCTCCAACTAAAGAAATCAAAATACAACCAAACTTCAAAGAACTGAGGCTGTGATGCAATTGTTTTACCAGAAATGCATGACAGGTTTATAATATTCCTTCAATATAGGATCAAAATCCTTCGAAAGTGGCAGGATTTTCAAAGAACTACTCAGCAAACCCTACTTCAAGATTAATGTTGTGAAAGATGTAGAAGCAGTGGAATTTTGTGGTGCTTTTAAGGTACTAATATTATGATCATAAATTGGAATTCTATTCATAGGAGTTTAAAAAATTCTCTTTGGGGTTTGAAAATGGTGTATGGTATTTGGAAAAAGGTTTTCTTGTATACAAATCTGTAAAATAGACACAGAAATATTGTTAGAGCTTCAAAGCTTCATCTGTCATCCAAAAGCAAGAAGAGAGAGTCCCTTGCTTAGTCCAGCAGATAAGTGCAAAGATTGTGCATTTTTWGATAAAAGCATGAAATTTAGTACAAAGTTCGGTCTTACCAATATAAACAATTCTCCCCAGTTCAATTTGTCCTTGAAGTGTATATAACAAGTACAGATATGCTTATAAAAGTCATAGGTATATGTATTATAGTTTATTTTCATCATTTTACATTCCTCTAAATAATTCTAAATGATTTGTTGGGATTTTGGTTTTCTGAGACCTTTGGTGCATATCTTATTACAATTCAACCAATGCTTGAACGAGTTTACAAAAAGATTGCCCAAAATCTAAACAAACTTCAAAGTTTGCAATGCAACAAAAGCAATAAAACTAGTCTGGGCTGATATAATATTAAATCATACAATACATAACTATCAAAACTATTAATTATTTAAGCTTAATGTACAATATTTTTTTTATAATCTGCTTTGCTTATTATTTTTTAAGATTTTTTGGCAAAATTTCCAAGCTTAAGTTTATTTTATAATGTTAATTTTATTTTTTATTTTTTTATTTTTTGGAATCATTCTTAGCTGATTTTTACTAAAAGCTATTATTTCTCACTGGTTATTTCTAAGGAATCGCTAATTATACAAAAATACATGTTGGTTTTCTTACAGAACTGTATCGCATTGGGTGCTGGAATTATCGATGGACTTGGGTAAGATATGTATGATGATGATGATGATGATAATGACGATTATAATGATGATGGCGATGATGATGATGATGATTACTATTATTATTATTATTATTATTATTATTATTATTATTATTATTATTATTATTATTATTATTCGATAAGTCGATAAATCGATAAGTCTCCCCAGCTTTCTCTGACCAAATTGGCCTCCAATGCTACTTTGTGTCTTCAGTTGACAGTAAGCAGACTGCTGAACTGACTGTAACTCTCGTTGGAAAGGCATACGGATACATGAATGGTGGGGGAAATAAGAAAACTCCAATTTGTTTTCAGTAACTGAGTATCTTTAAACTACTCCAGAAAATTTTTGTCATCCCATTCTTCGTCATCAATAAGGTTTAAAAACTCCATTAATGAATAGGTTTGCTTTTCCTCTCCAACAGCGTTACTTCCACTCTCAGCATCTTTTTGTTCGTTAGTTTTGCTTTTCTCACTTTTTTTCTCGTTACTTGTGCCTTTGGTGCCTTCGGCGTCTTTGCATTCGCCACTTTTGCGTTCGCTGCTTGTTGAGTTGGAAATGTTGTGTTCTGCATCTTTACGACCGTTGCGTTTACGTTCATTACTTCGGGGTTCGGTACTTGCACGTTCTGTACCTTTACTGCCGGAACATTTCCGTTCGTTACACGCTCGTCCTGCATTTTTACGCGGTTCGTTTCTTTTGCGTTCGGTACTTTTTATATCACCTCGACTGACATTGTCCTCCTGCACCTTGCATCGTTCCAGAGTAAACAGTTCATCAATGGAAATGTTTTTTGATTTTTGTATCATGGTAGGTTGTTGTTTTTCACGTTTGGTTATTAGCCACCTCCCAGGCTGAGGCAATGATGGAAAAGTGAAATAATTTCTAACTTTTTCTCTTATTTTTTCATGCTGTGAATCTTTCGTGGAATCGCAGAGTTCTTTTTTAGCATCTTTCACGACTCTGCTGGATGGCCTGTTACTGGTTGGCTGCAATTCTTCTTTTTGCTCACTTAAAGTCAAACCTGACGTCGATGGATAGYTGTACTCGCTTTGTATGCGTGTTGGACTGGAGTTACTGGAAAGACTGCAAGTCTCCTTTGATAATCTCTGGGGTATGGTGTTGGGTGAAGAAAGTGGTGAACGGCTTAACAATCGTTTTGGCGAATTTCCTGGAAAGAGATATTCTAACGACTTTTTKGGTGAGGYCGATCCCGGGGAMGAACCCGGWGAAGAAGAACAGTAGTATAACTCGCCTTCTGTATGAACTATTCGTGGTATCAATGTTTGGATTTGGAAACGGGAGTTTTCTCCTCTGTCAAAATCAGAACGACCTCGGCAATAATGATTTTGGCAAGGAACGGTTTTCATGATTGGTGTACTAGAATTAAGGCTTTTTGAAAGCATTGTACACCCATCCCAAATGCCACTGGATAGTACAGGTGGGCGTGGCTGATATGACATAGAGTCACTCTTAAGMCTCAAATTTSTACCAGGGCGCTTGGAATCATGAGAAAGCGCGTTATCACTGCTTGGCTCGTCTAATCCATTTTGGGCTTCGTCTGCAACATGACAACAGTCATTTATAAATAAATATCGTCAAAGAYTGTACTCTGAATTGTCACTGTAGCAGAAACCGTTCCATCGCGACTTCAATGTTCAAAAGAAATCGTTGGATTTAAAGCTTGTTCTGCGAATTTGRRGCGCAGCCTGCTGCAAACCAGCTAATGAATGAACGAGTTTACAAAACGCCCCGCTCCTTAGAAMGAAGGGAAGAACAAAATCAAAACAAGCTTCGAAACGAAKATGTTGCGATGCAACGATTTTCGCTGTAGAGTAATATCGAATACCGACCYCTCGCCTTGGGATAAGTAAAACTGGGTTAATCTTGTTTGATTCCATAGCTGTGGTTCGATAGAGCGGATAAYCTATTGGAATCCTTAGGCTAGACACTTAACTCTATTAGTACCTCTCTCTTCTTGGTTTATAAATGTTTACACTTCAGCGAGATAACCAGTTGAATTACTTTACAATTTTATAAGTAATTTTTCCTTGGTATGAAGATGAAGGTCATTTTTACTCATAATACTCGGACTCGGCTCGGTCAATGTTTTTTTTTACATACCTTGAGGTGGAACCTTGTCATGAGTGAAAACTGTTTTGTTCAAACTGTACTGGTTGGTCTGGCAAGATTGACCACAGGCAATTGGTCGTAAAGGGGCTGCCTTATCCAGGTGACAAGAAACATGGAGACATTTTTCTTTTGATGTGGTTTGAGGGTCCGTCTGGACATGTTGTTGACATAACTTTGTGTTTGTCCGAGGTGAAAGCAAGGTACTTCCATCCTGAATACCGCGTGACTGTGGGTGTGGCTGGCATGACGTGSAGAATTCCAAAGATTTATTGCTTAGTCTTGACCTTCTACCAAGGTTCATGGAATCATGAGGAAAATTGTTATATCCCTCTTGGAATCCGGCTGTAATATCATAATGGTGAACACGTCAACCACTGTATTCATACTTAATTTCAAGTTTGATGTACGAGACGCATAAACGTATATACTCAATTAATGTATTACGTCATTTGTTAGTAGCGCAACCCTCGTGGTCTAATTGGTAAATATTCTCGGCGGTACCTCTTTTGGACCACGTATATAAAAGKACACTTCCATTTTCCTAAATTAAGTTTCCGTTAACGAATATAATTCAACTATATAAGAAAGACACGAAAGAGGGATTTTTTTTTGTCCGAATCAATGTTTCTTAACATACCTTGAGACGAAACCTCATCAGTGAAAACTGTGTTGTACGTGTTGTTTTGACAGCACTGGGAACAAATAACTGGTTTTGATGGCGTTAAAAGGACTCCATTCTTCATGTGACAAGAAACAGGAACTGTTTTCCCATTGCTTGTGATGTGAAGGTTTGTCTGGACAACTTGATGACGTTGCTCTGTGTGTGACTGAGGTGAGAACAAGGCAAATCCATCTCGACGCGACTGAGGAGGTGGGTGTGGCTGGTATTGTGTGTTGAATTCTAGAGAGTTGCTACTGAGCCTCAACCTTCGACCAGGCTTCTTGAACTCGTGAGGAAGCATGTTATCATGGCTCTGCTCGTGGAATCCATATTCTGCTTCGGCTGCAACATTATTACGTAAAGGTCAACGCACGAAAATAACTCTTTTTTAAATTGTTTTTTGTCTTTACTCTAACTCTATTGATTAAAAAGTATTGTTACATTTGTTTAATAAAAGACGAATGAGAAAGGATTTTAAAAATGCATCACATTTAAATCAGAGTTGCTTATCATTCAAGGGAAGTCGAAGTGGCAGAAAACTTCAGTAAAATTATTTTTAGGAACACACTTGTTTTTGAACAACGTCATCTCGCTAAGCTATTCCTTAATCAAGAAACTCCATCCAAGAAATTGTCCAATTGCAAATGGTGTTCTTTTAGTTAACCAATAAGAATTATTTCGAGAGAGAGAATGCATATGGTTGGTACAGGGTAGAACTTGTGTATAGGCAAAACAAAAATTTTAAAGGCCCAGTTTGCACCAATATGCTTTGCGCGTCTCTGTTATTGTTAAGATTTTAGATAAAACATACTTCTAGTGTCCAAATCTCAACGTAAAAGGAGTTTCCGATGGTTGAAAACTCTAATATTAGCAATGAAAGTGATTAGAAAAGTGAGATGGTCAAAGATTCGAAACGCACAGTACAGTTCAGTGTAGACTTTCGGTAAACTGAAAATGACCACCGCCAGGCCCTCGCCTCGCGGCCCCCAAAGCACAATGGTGCACACTGGACCTTTAACCCTTTCATGCCCGCGATTTGTGGTTGATTTTGGGTTATCTTTGAGGCTGATATTTCAAAATATTAAATCTACACCATATAAGGAGTTGTCAATCAAACTATTGTAGATTCATATTCCTCCGAGTTTGTTTACTTAAAAAATTTACTACTCTAAATTAGCCAGAACTCGCCCTCAAATTCGCCCCAAAACCGTTTTTAAGTGTTTTTTTTTTCGAGTCATTTGCTGCGACAGCCCCTAGAACTGCATTATAAACCTCGACTAGGCGGCAGAGACGCTCTTCTGGAAGAAATCAGAAGCGGGAAGCGATTTTTCGAAGACGATGTCGCCAATACGAAGTTAGCTTTG